ATGTGCAGCTGGACAGCTGGGCTTCCTCACAGCCTGTGCTCAGCTCCAGAGAGGGCCCTGTCTGCTCTACCTGCCTTCCTCTTCCCTGTTTCTTCCTCCATGGATTCAGCAGTTATCATCATCAGGTTTCTCCCCTTGAGGCTTAAGGAGTGTTTGATGGAGTCTCAAGAGTGCTCCTCTTGCTTTCTCATACACCTGGGGTTATCTCAGGATGCAGAGGGCATCCTGGTTTTGGGAATTTTACCTTTCCCAGCTTTCCTTTAGGTACTTTAAAGTATATCCTCCTGAGCATCCCATGTGTTAATTCTGTCTGTCCAACCTTTTATCCAATTTTATTTCTCTAAAGCAATTGATATGTAAAAAACTCCTACTTGGTGCTCTTAGGATTTTGTTGGCATAGAAATCAACCACTGTAGGAATTAATTGAGTGGTAAAATAATAGGAATTTATTAACAGGTGAAATATTCTCAGGCAGATTAATATCCTTATTATTAATTCAGCATATAACATCATGTAGATCCCTGTGGTGGGAACAGTGCTGGAAGGGTATGGAAGAGCACTATTCCTGAGGCTTGCTGTGAGGTTTAATGCTTCCCCTGTGCTTTTATTGTGTGTCATCACAAGAAACTCAGAATATTTATTGTTAAAAACACAGTGTTTTCCTGCCTGTTCTGCATGAAAATCAGCTTTAGTCTTGCTCTTGCTTGGCCAGTGCTGAGCTGAAATGGGTCCCAGGAAAGGCTGATCAGGGCCACAAAAGCCTCATGGTGGCCTCTTGGGTGGCACCTGTGGGTCACCCAGTCTGTGACCTGTTGTCGTCAGCCTGGCAGGAGGAGAGAGCTGCTGGCAGGACCCAGAAGTGCTTTTATCTCAGTGATAGCAGTACCCTCTAGGCAGAGACCAAGTGAGAGGTGGGCTCTGAATCCCAGATTCCCAGGGTGTTCAAGATGAACAGCCATTCCCAAGGGAATGACTATTTCAGGCAGGTGTTTGCACCTGAGTGCAGACAGCTCTTCCTACTAAGACTGCTTCCTTTCCTCCTTGCCTGGGAGATCCAGGCTCTGTGGGCAGAGCAGAACTGGGAGAATCAGGCTGTCAGCATGTTCTTATTCAGGAGAAAAGCTAATTCCTGATAACTGGAATGCTTTCCTGAGCCCCACATCCTGTTCTGTCCCCTCACCCCACCTACCCCAGCCCACCTCTGGCAAACTGCTGCCTCCCAAGTCCTGCAGCTCTGTCCATTCAGAGGTTATTTCCCATTTTTCCCCCGTGTGCTGCATGCCGTGATTCAGCGAGAAGGAGGGCTAAGATCTAACCTTAATTTTCCCTGCTGCAGGGACTTTGCAGTCCCTGTAATAACCTTTTCCAAGTGCCTGTTGTGAGCATGGCAGGGCTGACCAGCAGCACAACAAGCCACTCGCTGTGGAATTCCCATGGCAGGGATTGGATCTGTGCTGTGCCCTGTAGCTCGATGAAAATCATTTCACTGAGCTGTTTTCTATCATGATTTCATAATTTTTGTGCTGGTTCATTGTGTGTGGTAGCAGCCAGCACCCCTCACTGTCAACCACAGGATGACAAATCTCTTTATGCTCACAAAATCCAAGTATGACTCCTGTCCTTCCTCAGACGGTTCCATCAGGAGATGCTTCCAACAAAATCTCTCTGTCAGTGAAGGGAATGCAATTAGGCTCCTGAAAGGCTGATTTCATTAGAAGCTTGATTAATTTGTGCCACAGATAAAAGCATGGGACCACTGCCAGATTTGATAGTGTTTAATGGGTGATAAAGCAATGAGCACTGTGATGCATCTGTGTGTTAGCCTAGTGACCAGGGAGAGATGGAGGATACTGGAGCAGCATCTTGGTGAAACATTCACAAGGGCTGGCTGTGTTGCCATCAAGCATTTCAAAACTTTGGGTCAAGCTCATTGGGTAGATCACAGAATCCCAGAGTCATCTAGGCTGGAACAGACCTCCAAGATCATACAATCTAGCCTGTGACTGATCATCACCTTGTCAACTGGACCAGAGCACTAAGTGCCACATCCAGCCATTCCTGGAATACCTCATGGGATGGTGACTCCACAGCTGAGACTGTTTTCATCTCTGTGGCAGCACCACATGGGAGAGGGCAGCAGGGATCTATCCACCCTGATGTGTCCGAGCTTCTCTGACCTCCATGCGAGGCACAAGTCTGTCCCTGAGGGTCTCAACCTGTCATGGACAGGTAACACTTGGGGTCCTGCAGCCTTCTGCTGCTGCCTGTTGGTTCCCATGTGAAACAGGTGACAGTGCCACCTCAGCAGAGCCACATGAGGGTGCTGAGCAGAGTCTGGAGTAGGTGCTGAAGGTGCTCCAACAGCATTCCAGCTTACACCATCAACACTGACAAACACCCGCTCTGTTCCAGCTGCAGCACTGCGTCCATCTCTGGGTGCTGTTGAGTTCAGCCCAACAAGGGTCCCATCTGTGAGGGTCAAACACCTCTGCTGTGGTTCTCCCCCAGGGCTGCGGCCGCGGGGCTGTCGCTGAGCCTGATGGAGCGGCTGGCGGGGCACTACGGGGCGCAGGAAAAAAACCGCATGCACCAGGCCATCATGGAGTGGGCATCCATGGAGCTGTACGGCGGCCACCTCACTGCTCACCCCTCTGTGGCACAACACCTTCTCAGGTCAGTCACTTCTCTCCCACTGGTGTGTGAGCTGAGATGTCCTTTTCATCCCACTGCACGCAGGGTTTGTCCCTGTGGGGGAATTCTCTGTTCCTCCTGTCCCTGTGGTGGTAGTATTTGTGTTTCAGCCTTTATTTGATTGAGGAAACATTAATTGAGGGGGGTTTGTCCCTTTCACTCTGTAACAAGAAGTCATGCAGAGTTGTCTTCTGTTTCTCCCTTTGGTATGATAATCATAGAATCATGGAATGGTTCAGGCTGGAAAGGACCTTAAAGCTTATCCAGTTCCACCCCCTGCCATGGGCAGGGACACCTTCCACTAGCCCAGGTTGCTCCAAACCCCATCCAACCTGGCCTGGAATACTTCCAGGGATGGAGCAGCCACAGCTTCTCTGGGCAACCTGTGCCAGTGTCTCAGCACCCTCACAGGGAGCAATTTCATCCCAAGATCTAATGCAAACCCTTCCTCCTCCAGCTTAAGGCCATTCCCTTTGTCCTGGCATGATATGTCATTGTGAAAAGTCCTTCATAAGCAACAAAATAAAATCCCCTTGTACCTGGGATCTGTCAGAGATCTTTGCAGCACCTCCTTTACTCAAACCAGGATACTTGGATCTTTCTAGGGGCAGAGTGTTTCCAAGGGAGCAGAACCTTCTTCCCATTCTCCCTTCCTTCTCAAAGAGGTGACAAAGCACATCAGAACCCCCCTGCCCCAGCTCCAGGCAGGGAGGCTGTAGCAGTATTTTCCACATTAATTTGTGACTCAGCCTGTGAGAAGCTGG